ACAACATCAGCCCCGGAGCGCGCATCTGAGCGACTAGCGTGAAACTCGAGGAATGCTCGCGACACTCACCACAAGCGGTACTGACACCCTGCTTATAGTCATAAACCCCATAGTAGTTCCTTTTTAGGGTTCATGTTTAGAACCCTATAAGGTAATCCCAAAAAGAAACTACTATGGGTAGTCTGCAACCCCGAAAGCAGGACAGGAGCCTGGCCGGAAACAAACCCGACCTGGCCCTGTGGCATTGAAAGTGGCATGCACGAATGCTACCATCCTGGTCGTGCAAAAGCTTGAGCCCCGCCTAGCACTTTGGCATCGCTACAGGACATTCATGGCACCGGCAAGGCGACAAATTCTGATGCATCCCAGGTGCTCCTTCCCTGGCCACAACGCCACACGCCATTCCGAGGAAGCTGTATCCAGTTGCTGAGAAGGTTCTCACGACTCACCTGCGGACATGCTGACAAGAATTCGGTGCTGCAAGAAGACTGACGTCTGCTTGCATGACCTTTTCTCGCAACACTGCAACATCTCAGTGAAGCGTGTGGTCGGTACACAGAGGTGACTAGCTTCTCTGCTAAACCCGCCTCAACGCTGCACTCTGTGACCGGCGCGCCGTCGGGATCCCGTGTTCGCCACTGCACCTGCAGCAACAGCTTGGCTCGGCCGTTGCGCAAACAGTCGCAATGTTGCAAATTGCACGAAATGTCAGCACGGATATCATGTGAACTGTGAGCACTACGTGTCACGACCTTTGGCCGATTGCGCGCGGCGGCGAAACACCCGTGCGCCCATTCGATAGGCCTCCAGCCATGTGGCCCCGCGGACGATGCAGCATAGGTCATCCACTTTTGGCGGCCTCTGCTTGGCGCACAAAGCCATGGATCGCCATGCTGAAAAAATGTAGAATACCGGTTGAAATGCACCTGTACAGTATCTCATGCTCTTTCGCATGTCCTTGGTGCTGCGCACATTGATAGCTGATAGCATGTTTCCAGTTCCGCAAGCACGTAATTGAAAGCTCTCACAGAATGCCAAACCCTACAGAACTAGCGTAGTACCCTAGTAGCCTTCTAAGAGTAGCAGAACCCTTGTAGCAAACCGTTGGTGACAACACTGTCGGCCCGTGCCTGTCTGAGGGTCGGCATGCCAGAGGCTGCGATGGCTCACGGGAACGGCCGGCCTAGATCTCTTGCCAGATAGGGTTTTCGACTCTCACACTCGCACAAGGCCGGCAAGGCTCCGCAAGGGTTTAGGGGTTTGGGGTTTAGGGTTTAGGAGCTTAGGGTTATACAGAGGCTTCGAGTGCAGGGAATATAGGCTGAAGTGTTCGCCCCTGACTTCGCAAGGACAAGCGCTGGCAGGGCAGGGTCGACAACGATGAATAGGGCCGAGGCTTTTTTATTTATACAATATTGCTGGTTCTTGCAATGCAGATGTAGGGCTCCGAGGGTTTCTGGCTTCGGGCTTGCAGGGTTTTTACAGGGTGATTGAGTCTAGGTTCAGTGCCTACAGGCCTGATGGATGGGACAGAAAGGAGGCGGCAAATGCTGCATGGAACTTCTGTCGGCAGGAAGGCCGACGGTCATCAGCCACCATAATCGAGGGGCCTTTACAATAATCATCATCATAATAATCAGAATACTGAATCTCATTATAGTATACGACACCTGTACAAACCCACAATAGCCACCACGGCAGAGCCCGAGCCAAACCACTGACGGCACTGTAGGCGTTTCAGTATTGAAGACAAGGGACAACATTACAGACCGTCAAGATAAGATCTCATTTTAAGGACCCCTATATCACCAAAACAGCCCCTATGTTAAGTTGTTGTTAAATCCGAAAGCCCAGCAGCCTGAATTCCAAACCTTCTGCCCTTTTGAGGCCTGAAGACTAGAGCCCGTTCGCCTGGTTCACTGCCCAAAGTCGAAGCCAAATCGTCTGCTCGGGCCGAAGTTCACCAACCTCAGCCAACCAGGAAAAGCAAATCATTCTGACGACACTGCATGGGTCCCGTGCCGCATGTGCGTAGAAGTCTGTATCGAATATTTACATCAACGAGCAAACCAACACAGTCATGCATATACATCCATGCGTGTGTGTGTGTGTGTGTGCACATATTTCCTGCTGAAGTACCAATGGTTGTCACGGTTCGAGCTTTGCATTCTTCGGTTTGGGTTCATCTACGTCCATACATACAAGTCTGCGAGGGAAAGGGAAAGGGCATACTACAGTACAGTTGCAGCCCCGAGCCTCCCAGCCGGAAGATGAATGGATCTCAACGTGGCCCCAATCTCTCGGAAGTGCTGTCAATTTTTGACGGGTTGCTGTAACTGTCGCGCGTCGGACATCGTTGCAACCTGCGGAGTGTTCCGGATCCTGACAGCGGCGGCAGACGAAAAGAACCCTGAACCTGAGCCAGGGATGGCTCGGGCCATGGCTTAAGAGCTCGACAAAGTCCCTCACTCTCGCACTGACAACCCACGTGGTCTGGGTCACGAGCCCTATACCCCAAGGCAGCCGCTGATATGCAAGGACACGGGATATAGGATGTGGTGAATGCTGTTGTGCACTACGCGCATGCTGTCCGTCGATCTCGTGCGACTGCTTAACCGTAGTGAAACCCGGAACCCCGAACACGTGTCGGACCCACAAGCTGGGAGACGAGGGGTCTTCATGTCCTCGCCTGCAAGGAGACCTGAAAATGCTGTGGCGTCTGCCACCACCATGTCGCGGCGTCCAGTATGTTGCTGAAGCCGTCGGCGCTCTCTCCAGGAATGACTCCGGTAATGTTGGTGCTTTCAGGCTTCAGACAGAATTCTGGTTCAATGTGTGAGACTGGGCATCCGTCGGCATCCAGAAACTCGAACTCCACTTCCACCTTGCCCGGTTGCCGAGACAGCAGCTTAAGCTTCACTGGAGGATCTGGTGGCTCCGATGTGCGGAATATCTCCTCGTCTGAAAAGTCCGCACACCACCCCACAGTGTTGCAAGCCTTCACCCGGAAATGATAGCTTGTTGCGGCCTTCAGATTGGGGACGGCCGCGCTCCATGTCTCCTCTCGGTCACTCGGCTTGCCGTTCTTGCTCTCTGATACGGCCACATCTTCCAGCAAAGCCACGTCTTGCCACACACTGAAAACCTCCTGCGAGCACTGCTGAACTTGGCACTCGAGAATCGGAGCACCGACCGGCGTCCGAACCTTCCACTCGATCCGCAACTTCTCTGGCCAGCGGCCAATGCACCGAGGTGGATTCGAGCGTTCCGGCCTTCCCAATGTCGAGCACTCACAGTGCAAGCTCCAACTCCTTCCCGCTTTCTTCGGAGGCACCACGCGGAGGCTGTACTTCGTCTCCTCGGCTGCACAAAAAGGCTCCCCAAAGGATCAATTGTGGCGAGACCTCATCAACAATCACTTGCCATCATATGCGACATTATGCTACCATAATGCAGCGCAGCATCGGGTTGCAGGTTCGAAACGTGCACATGGTAGAGGGCCTTCGAGCCGACAACTTGCACAGTGGACACCTCCTTGCCTTCCACCAGCTCTCTCCACTCTTCGCTTTGGAACCAGCTTCCCGGAACCAGGACTTGCACCTCGGCAAGTCAAGCCTTACCCATAGGCCCCAGAGAAAACCCTTTTTGGGGCTCATATTTAGAACCCTATAAGCTAATCCCAAAAAGGAACTAGTATTCGGGCTATGGGTATAGTAATTCTTATAGTAAGCCCTGGAATATTCAAGCCAGTGTATCCGTTTCGAAAGCTCCGGGCACCGACCAAAGAACTTACTTTGTTGAATATCAGCTACCGTACAGGGGAAGCCACAGAGTACTACATCATGCCCTTATCACGGTAACTTCAGGCACCGCCCAAGGAGGCTCTGCGTCGCCAGGTGAGACCTCCAGCGTCAGCGAGTTGACCCCGCGCTCGGCGCAGATCACGGGCTGCATCTTGCCAAGCCATGGCAGCACACGGGAAGTGCGGCATGTGGACTTTATAGGGGTTGATGGGAGTATTATGCAGTAGGGTTTGTTGATAGTATTATAAAGTTTCCTTAGGGCTTTAGTTTCAACAATCGAGCTCGACCAAAGGGCTCTATACCGTCGTAGCTATTTTTGCCTGCCGGGAGTTCTGGGTTGAGGGATGGCTCAAGGCTCATGAGCACTCATGCGTAGAACAAGATGTATCTACTACAATGTTACATTTTAGCCAGAGCCTCGAGTCGGGTACCTCTTGGAACTAAAACCCATTTTACACCTGGACTACGCATATGCCAGGAACTAAAACCCTAAACCCTAAACCCCCACACTTCTAGAACTGCGGCTTAGGCCTATGTTGTACTGTTGATGCCGCGGTCCCCATGGCTGGGCCGGCCTCTTGCCTCTTTGTTGTCCTGCTTTTGACCTAGTAGTAGTAGTAGTAGTA